TTGAGCGACTAGCACTCATGACCCTAGTTTGTGTTGCAGGTAACCCTTAGATCCAATACTTTACTGGGAGCTTCTGGACGTGTAGGGCGCTAAGTAGTGTTCGTGTCTTTTGCAAAGTATTTTTCTTTTTGACTTTAGTAGTGGTAGTAGTTGGCGTTATGTCCGTGGCCATGAACTTGTTGCGGTATTGTAATAGATGTTTTTATTGTAAAAGTATTTTTGTATATATATTGTGTTAATTTAATGATAAGGTCTAGTCTGGTCCGACACAACTTTCATTTAAGGTAATGCGTTGAAAAGCATAATATCGTATTCGTAAGGGACGTTACTAAGGATGGACTGACTAAAGATGCTATTTTTTTGCTAGAACCTCGGGTGGATCATTCGAAGTACATGTTCTGTAACACTGACGGGCCTTCTATTGTCCGTAGATCGATAACTCTTTTCCACTCGGCGAGGAGCTCTCCTTCAGGAAAAGATCTAGTCGGATCTCCAATTGCTCAACCTCGAGGCTTCAGGTCTAGTCGATTTTGAACTTATGGATCGATTCAAATTCAAGGTTCTAGAACCACTCAACGTCGACTATTTGGATCCAGCCAGCCTCTAGCTTTGAATCAACCTAAAACCTCGATTTAGCCTCCAACGGTTCAACATCCTTAACCAAGACCTTATCTCAACCTCGAGCCTTTAGTATCCCATCATAGTTCTCAAGCTCAAAACTCACACGAGGAAGAAAATATAGATGAAGCTGATTCTAAGGAAGATATGCAAGGGATTCAACTCTCCTAGAAGATATGCTCGCTGATTTACATGAGTTGCTGCACACGCCCCATGAGCAATATACCATTGTCATCTAGTGCAAGTAGAATTTGTCTTGTAGGAACATGTCTCTAAATTGTAATTAAAACCGTCTTTTATTGTATGATACTCCATTTAGCTACTAGTGGTTACAGATATTACCTTGATTGTTCTTTTTTTGTATCTTTCTAACTACATGCATTGATTTTTTGTTATGTGTTTGTAGGTTTGGTAAGGACAAGTCAAAGATTACTCAGAAGATTATAGAGGATTCTATAAACAAGTTTGATGGATCATATTACTGTTGGAGTTCTGTGCCTACTGGAGAAGAGAAAGATACTTCCTCGAATTTGCGGTAAACTTCTATCTCCTCTCAATCTAATCTAAGTTTTCTATTTATACTTTTGTTTTGGTTTTATTTATTTCGTAACATAAAACTTTCCTCTTGTTTAGTAGAAACAACACACATGGCATCCCTCACTAACTGGTGTGGTTGAAGAAAATTTATATTCACTTTGTCACCAGCGTATGAAAGACATGGTTTTCAAGTCAGGGAAAACAAAAGCAACCCAATTGGATTGATGATACACTGTGGAAGGAAATGTGTGAGTATTGAGACACAGAAGAAGCCATAGTCACTCACGATCATCCTCGCGACACAGATCATTGGTGTCAGTCGAGACCGATGCTCTGGACATCACTCCAGTCACTTCTCCTCGATGGATCTCCATATTCTTGCACTCAAGGAACGATGATGAGTCTCCAAAAGGTTGTACAGAGGCACCAATACATAAAATCAACCAAACAATAATGAAATCATCCAAAAAAGGATCAAACCGCTTAGATAAGTCATAATTATGCACTCACCTCTTGATTGGAATGAAAGAATGAATAAAACAAGAAGATTAGGACTCTCTTAACACAACAGCCATGAAACACTCCTCCTCTAGGCTAGAACTCCCAAGAATAAGCCATAGAATACTCCAAAACCCCTTTGAAAGCTCTTAGGATCAAACTATCACTCTCTGCTCTTTTCTTTCAACTTTCATGAAGCGACAAAACTCTAAAAATGAAAGGAAAGACGGCTGCTCGAATTTAAGTCGACCTAGAGTTGCTCCCAAACCAAAAATTGATGTAAACAGATGATTTAAAATTTGAACCGTCTAACCCAATTTGTTAGTATCAATCGACACCCACCCTTGGTGTCGATCGACACTTCAAAATTTTGAACACGGGTGTGACAACTCTATTATTTATACACATCTAACCCTACTAATATATATAACCAAATTTACACTAATAATCATATTGTACAAATAAAATTGTCAAATTTAATTATCATATATTACAACAAATATTAGTTTACCAAATTACTTCAATGTAATGAAAATATACATTTTATTTTAATACTTACAACCCGAACTATTTCTTTATTAATTAATGTTACTTTAAAATATATTAGCCGGTGTTATATCACGGATGAATGACTAGAAAGTTATTATAAGTGATGCTAAATCATCTAAATTTATCTCATTTAATACAAGTAATTTTCAAATAGTGTCACTTAATTTGATGATATAATTTAAATGATTTATTTTAATTAGTTTTTGTAGTGAGTGTTCACCGACAAAATCATTGCAAAAATTGGATTTTTGAACACGGCTTTTATAAACACTAGGTAATGTCCCGCGCATATGCGCGGGTTGTTGTATATTTATTTAATTATTTTAATTTATTTATTACTTATAATAAATAGATTAAATAAATTTTAATGCTTATGACATTTTTACATGTTATTTATTTAAATCATACAATAGAAGCATACATCCATATCTTTTGAATTTATTCGTTGATTAATTGTTCAATTAATCAATTTTGATAGTAATTTTCTTTAGTACTTTTAAGTATTTTTTGATAAAACAATAATATTTTTAATGATAAAAATAGGAATGATATTGGGAGAATTTAAAAAATACCCCTTTAAAAATACCACTTTTTAAATTTACCCTCTTTTCAAACTTTATCAAAACAACCACTAAAAATGTTGAAATTTATCCAAATATGTGTGTAAACTTATAAATATACTCAAAAATTACCTTTATTTGTGTATAAAATTTTATTTATTTCAATGTCTTACAAATTGGTTTGAATATAACAAAAAATATTTTGTTAAAATAATTACATACTTTGAAAATAAAATAAATATACATGAATATGTGAGAAAGAAAAAAACATATAAAGTAAAAAAATGAAAATGGTTTATTTAGCTTGATTTTCTTATGGTGCGATGGTCATAAATCAATATTTTTGAATCCTATCGATAAAGTAATTTCCTTATAGCCATAAAATATTATTATACATATGTATTATACATTTAATAGTATAAAAACAATGAAAAAATGAAGAAGTACCTAAAATAAAGAAGAAATATAATTGAAAACAAAAGTTTTTACCAAATATATAATCAAGCTCTTACAATGATATCTTAATTGAGCTTTCAACCCATGCAAGAACATTAAAAATTAAACAAAGAAAATATTGAGAATATCAGATATGGTGGAGGAGGATGTAAAAATGAGTATTTATAGGATAAAATATGATGTAAGTTACAATTCTAAAATAATTAAATCAGAGGAGTTATAATTATATTTTATAGTGTGTTAATTGAAGTTAAATGGAAGAAAAAAATAGTCAATTGAAAGGTTATATAATTTAAGTTACAATTTAATAGTAAAGTGTGGATTTCAAGTATGAATTAAATTATATGACTAAATGTGTTAGATATTTGGTTTAATTAAAAATAAATATTATAATTAAAAAATAAATGCTAAATGGACCAATAAGGAGAGAGTGAAACCTTAAAAATTCCCAAGAAATAATTTTATTTTTAATCTCTTTTTAAATTCCTCTTAATTTAAGTTATATTTCTAGGTTTAATTATATTTTTCATCCTTGTAGTATATATAATAGATAGAAAATGGAATATCAAATTGTTTTTTAGATAGGAAATCAAGTATAAAATTCAAAGTTAAAACAAATTATAATGTTCTTTTTATTATTACATGTTGAATCACAAACT